GAGTGAGGGGGCCGAACGGTCATTCATTATTCCTGGGCGCGTGGCTGAAGTAAGGTTCTGCGGTGCGGATTGTTTTTTGTTGTTGTTGTTTATGTCGTTGTTGGTTGTTGGTTGTTGTTTATTGATTTATTTATTTGTTTGTTGTTGTTGCACGTAGTTGTTGTAGTTGTGGTTGTTGTTGCTTGTTGTGGCTTGCTGTCGTGTGTTGTTATTTGTTGTCGTCGTCCCCCCGGCGACCCGGCCCGCGACCCACCCGCGACCCACCCGCGACCTGGTCCGCGACCCACCCGCGACCCATTCCGCGATCTTGCCCGGGACCTACCCGCGACCCACCCGCGACCCACCCGCGGCCTACATGGGCATTACAGGGATGGGTAGGGATGTGGGCCCGTAGCGTCACGATTCGCGCCAGCGCCGCCTGGGAATCCCAGGAACGGCAAATCCCAGATGTTGTCGGTGCGAACCGTGCCGTTGCTAGGGCACGGCGGAGGGGGGTGGTCTGGGCCAGTGACGGTCGTTATCGCGAATTACGAAACACGTGTTCATGTTCATGTCTCTCTGTCAGTCTCTCTCTCTCTCTCTCTCTTTCTATCCAAGTGGCCTACGCCATTCCGCCGACCCCCCGAGGGGGGAGAGCCTGCGGCAATGCGGGTACTGACGCGGCTTCCGCCACGTTTAAAGTTCTGCTGTGGCTGCCGTCAGACTGCTTGTAGAGTAAACGAGCAGCACTGCAGAACTCAAGGACAAGTCGCGTGCAGTCCCTTAGAGTATCTCGACCCACTGCGTGTGGAGAGCAGGGGGAGGACGACGAAAATGGTTGAATGCGGCAACTTGTCGTTGTAGGCTTTTGGCTCGCAATTTTATGGAAGGCTATCCCATTCGACTTTCGAAGCGCATACGAGCGGAAGGAGGAAGGAATAATTGTAGGGGTGCAGGGCATGAGGGTCCGGTCGGGGAATTGGGAGTAGGAGTCGAAGGAAGGAAACGTGGTGTGAGGAAAGAGAGAGAGAGAGAGAGAGAGAGAGAGAGATAGAGAGTGATAGAGAGAGAGAGAGAGAGCTTCAGGGAGGCCTCGGGCGGACGATTTTGCTTAGCGTTCTGTGGGTTCCTGATGGGCTCGTGCGGCCGTCCAGAAGCTTTGTGGGAGCATGGTGGGGCTGTCTTTTGGGTTATGATGGCGATCTTTGTCGAAGATGCCTACAGCGAATCACCGCCGCCCCCTGCCTTTCTGGACACGCCTCTGTGGCCGAAGGTTGTGCTAGATCTTGGCGAAGCTGTCGGACCATGAGTTCCCCGAGTCGGCTCGGAAAGCCTTCGGGGAACACGTGGGGAAGGACGGGGAAGGGGACGAGAGGGAGGAACAAGGAAAAGGGAGGAGGAGGCCTCTCGGGAGCCTCTTGGGCTATTCTAGGTTTGTATTGGGTCATCTTGGCGGTCTTGGAGGCACATTGGGATTGTCTTGGAGGCCATTTTGGGGCTATCTTGGGCCCTCTTGGGGCCATCCTTGCCATCTTGAACGCATCTTGGAGGCCATCTTGGGCCACACTGGTCGTCTTGGAGGCGTCTTGGGCCGGCGTCTTAGATACCTCTTCGGCCGTCTTGAGGCCCTCTTGGGGCCGTCTTGGGGGCCTCTTGGGCCGTCATGGGGCCATCTTGGAGGCCTCTGGGGCGACCGTGGGGGCCTCTTGGGCCGTCTGGGGCCGCCGGAAGGCCGAAAAGGCGCAAATCCAAACATCTTTCAAAAACCCAAGGGAAATCAATGATTTTGGCCGCTTCGGGCCTTTCTGGAGTACTCTTGGAGGCCTCTTAGAGGCCTGTTGGAAGCCTCTGATGCCGTCTTGGGTCATCTTGAGGCTATCCTAGGCCGTCTTGGGTGCATCTTTGGCCGTCTTGGAGGCGTCTTGAGGCCATCTTAGCTGTCTTGGAGGCCGTCTTGGAGGCATCTTTGAGGCCATCTTGGGCCATCTAAGGAGCCGATGAGGCAGGCAGCTGGCGGGACGGGCCGAAGCCCCAGGGGGAGTTCTTTTGGAAAAGGAACCAAAATCAGAACGTAAGAAATCCAGCACGCCAGGCACCCCATGTGATGAATCAACAGGGGGCGGCCGATCTAAGACGCCTACGGCGAATCACCGCCGCCCCCTGCCCCTTTGGAAGCGCCTCTGTGGCCGAAAGCTGGGCCAGAGCTTGGCCAAGCTATCGGGCCAGTTGATCCCCGAGTCGGTTTGGAAAGACTTCGGGGAACACGTGGAGGAGCAAGAAGAGGAGGAGGGGGAGGATGAGGAAAAAAGAGGAGGAGAAGGAGGAGGAGGAGGAGGAGGCCTCTTGGCCTCCTGTTGGGGCACTCTTGGGGCCTACTAGGAGTTTCCTGGGGGCCTCTTGGATGGTTTGGGTGGCCTTTGAGGGCTTCTTGGGGGCCTCTTTGGCCGTCTCAGGGCGTTCCTGGCTTGTCTGACGTCGCCGGGAGCCTTCTTGGGGGCCTGTTTGGGTCGTCTTGGGGCCCTCTTGGGGCATATCAGGGGTTCTTAGAGGCCATCTTGGGCGTCTTGGAGGCCTCTTGGGCCGTTTTGGGGCTCTCTTGGGGCGTCTTGGGGGCCTTCATCTCGGAGGCCTCTTGGGCGATCCTGGGGGCCTCTTGCGCCGTCTTGAGCCGTCGGAATGCCGAGAAGAAGCACATGCCGAAATCTTTCAAAAGCCAAAGGCAAACCAATGATTTTGGCCTCTTCGTGCCCTCCCTGAAGACCTCCTGGACGCCTTTTGGGCCGTCTTGAAGGCCTCTTGAGGGGCTCTTGGGCCGTCTTGGGCCATCTTGAGGCCATCTTAGGCCGTCTTGGGTGCATCTTGGGCCGTCTTGGAGGCCATCTTGGGGCCATCTTAGCAGTCCTGGATGCCATTTTGGCCGTTTTGGAGGCCTCTTGGGCCCTCCTGGGGCCGTCTTTGGGGCCTCTTGGGCCGTCATAGGGCCATCTTGGAGGCCTCGTGGGGGATCTTGGGGGCTTCTTGGGCCGTCTTGAGCAGCCGGAAGGCAGAAAAGGTGCAAATGCTCAAATCTTTCAAACACCTGAGGGACATCAATGATTTTGGCCTCTTCGGGCCCTCCTGGAGGACCTCTTGGAGGCTCCTTGGGCCGTCTGGAGGACTTTGGGGGGCCTCTTGGGCCAGCTTAGGCCATCTGGAGGCCATCTCGGGCCGTCTTGGGTGCATCTTGGGCCGTCTTGGAGGCATCTTGGGGCAATCTTAGCCGTCTTGGAGGCCATGTTGGTCGTCGTGGAGGCCTCTTGGGCCGTCTTGGGGCCCTCTTGGGGGCATCTTGGGGGCCTCTTGGGCCGTCATGGGGCCATCTTGGAGACCTCTTTGGCGATCTTGGGGCGATCTTGTGGGCCTCTTGGGCCGTCCCTTTGGCAAGAGCAACGTAACGCAGCGCTTAGCATACAAACCAATGTAATGCGTAATGATTTTGCAAAGCAACGCAAAGCAATACAAGACAATGCAAAAACATGCAAACCAACGCAGTGGGAATGCAAAGCAGTGCTAAGCAATGCAAAGCACTGCAAACGCAATGCAAACGCAATGCAAACGCATTGCCAAGCGATGCAACGCAGTGCAAAGTAATGCGACGCAACGCAAAGCAACGCCAAAGCAATATAAACTGCGCACCTCGCACAATCAAAATCGTGACCAAGCACGGCGGCGACGGGCGGCGACGGGCGGCTACAAGTTGGCCAGTCCGATAACCAGGCGCAGTTCCTGAGAACAGAAGTAAGAACCCCTCAGGGCACCCATGATTTGGGGAATACATTCATATACATAGACATATGTGTCTATATCTCTCTATATATGTATATGTATCTACATATGATGTTTTTTTATGTATTTTATACTTGGCGGGGCGGAGCCCGTCCACTCCCACCCCTTCCAAAAGCCGGACTCCCTGACCCCCCGGATCCTTGGCACGTGGGACCTCTGGGCGCCCTTACAGGAGGTATCCCGGGTTTTCCCAGCCCTGGACTCGGCGATGTATATGAGGCACGGCATGTCGGGCATCCAGTGGAGGAGCCGCCAGGGGATGCCCACCCATGCCCAGGATGATTTGGGTTCAGATCCACACGTGCGCAGGCGTTCAGACTCGCGCATACTCAGACACTCATAGGCAAGGAAGCTTGTCAGAGAAGAGATGCACGCATGGGCATCCCTGCGCTGAATAATTTCGCACGCAGCGTGGACCTCCGGAGGTCTGGAGCTCTCCCCCCAGGATCCGTTTTTCATCCTGGGCCGTTTTTGTTGCGTGCCCCAGGGCCCAGTCAGGGCCCCCAGAAGCAGAACTTGACAGCAGCTCGCCGTTGCGATCTCTTCACCCGGCGGCGCGCTCAGGGGGGAAGTGAGGAGGAGCAGGCCTTCTCAGAAGGCTCAGAAGCTTCCCGGTCTTCTGAGAAGTTTCTCAAGCCTTCCCCGGAGACACATAACACTTGTCAAATGGCTGGAGGGCTTCTTAGGAGCCCCGCCGCCTTCTGAGAGGGCGTTCTCATTGTCACTTCCCCCCCTCGTTCATTCACGAAGGGAGGAGGTCCGGGCAGCCCTCCCCCATCACTCGGAGCCTAAGAGGGTGGCACCCATACCAACATCGGCGGTTGCCTGCACCGGGGGCAGATGATCCCGACTTCGCTAATAATGGTGACATTCGGGCTTCCAGTATGGCTCCCCCAGCGGATGCACCCCTCTGAGTTTCGGCGGCGAGCGAGCTGGGGAAGTGAGAATGAGAAGGCTTCCTCTCGCAAGGCGGCGGAACTTCTCCGAGGCCCCTCCGCCTTCTGACGAGAAGCCTCCTGTGTCTTCGGGGAAGGCTTAGAGCACTTTTCAGGAGGCCTGGGAACTCCCGAGCCTTCTGAGAAGGCCCGCCCCTTCTCCCTTCCCCCCCCCCCGGCTCGCAGCCGAGTGTTAGTGTTGGTGCCCGTTCCAAGCCTCCAGATCTTTTGCCTCCCCGTGCCTCGGCTGGAGGCTCGGCTATGGCGAAGGCGGGGTACGTGAAGCCGGAGCCCACCGGCATGGCGGCGGGGCTCCACAAGGGGTTCATCACCACCCGCAGGCCCGTCCCATCGGCCCCTGGGCCCTGGGGTTCGGTAGCAAATCATGGGAGCCTTGTGTACCCTCGCAATTCTGTCTCTAGCACTGACTCGTCTCGATTAGCGTCTGGGAGTCGATGAGATAGCCCCGATTTAGCGTCGGCTAGCATCGATTAGCGTCGATTCGCGTCGATTTAGCGTCGAGTAGCGTCGATTCGCAAGAGCCGACAAGATGGTATGGGAGGCTCCCATGGGTTGCCACCGAACCTGGGGCGCGCGAAGGGCGCTCGCGAGCAGGAGGAGTCAGGGGCAGCGTTGTGTGGGGATAGGCTCCAGGGGAAGCGCATCGACCCCCAATCGCCCAGTCAGCGCCGATAGGGGCGCGATAGCTCTGCCCCGCCCAGGAACGTTTGGATTCGCTATGGTCGCCTATCTATCGGCGATGTAATCGCCGATTCCAGGCAGATAGTTCCACCCCAAAGCCGGCTCCCCCTGAAGTTCCCCCTCGGAGGAGGAGCATCAGGAGGAGGAGGAGGAGGAGGAGGAGGAGGAGGAGGAGGAGGAGGAGGAGGTTGGACTCGAGCGAGGCTTCAGGATCGCTGTTTCTGCATCGTTTCTGATCCTTGTCGGGCCTTCGGGGGCCCTGGACGTCTGCAGAGGCTCCCGGGCACTGCCACAGACCTCTGGGGTAGCCGCCCAGAGAGGCCTCCAAGGGCGCCCGACGAGGCCCCGAGATTGCCCAGCAGAGCCCCAAGGCAGTCCAAGCGAGCACCGAGACTCAGGAGGGGAAAAAACACACAGACACAATTAATCGTCGATCCCCAGGAAAATATGCGAAAATATGGGAAGTGGGGGGAAGGCCAAACCTGAGAAAATATGGGAAACTATGGGGAATATGTTTATTTGTGTGTATTTATTTGTGTGTTCTGGGGCCCCTTTAGAGACACCCCAAGGAGAGCCCCCACAGACCCTCGGGACGTGCCCAGACAGCCCAAGAGGGTCACAGAGGCCTTCAGGAGGCTCTCAAAATGCTCCCAAAGAGAGCCCCCAAACGACTTGACGGCTCACGAGGTTCATCATCTGTTTTGAGAGCGCGGGGGGAGGGCCGCTTCGTTCCTCCTCGTACGCGTCTCCTCTTTCATCTCTTCCTCCTCGTCGTCGTGCTTGCCTTCCTACTCGTTGTCCTCCTGCTCCCCTCGCGGCCCTCCCCGTCAACCTCCGTTGTCATCCTCGTCATCCGCCGCCTCGTCGTCGCCATCCATATTTTTCCCTGATCCCCCCACGAGCCCAAACGGACAACATCGGCGCTGACCGTTCTTGCCTCCTCTCCCACCGGATGATCTCGTCCGAACGACCACCTGTGTGGACTCCAGTCCAAATGTTCAAGGGAGGAGGCAGGCTCAGGTAAGACTCTCCGTGGGGCTCCTCAGTTCATCGCACCCACAAAAATTCGAGGCCCAGAGAACATTCTCAAGAGAGGGCGGGAGCCGCGCCCGCGGGAGCAGGATGATGATGATGATGATGAGGAGGAGGAGGAGGAGAAGGAGGAGGAGATGGAGGAGGAGGAGGAGGAGGAGGAGGAGGAGGAGGAGGCAGCGGGAGGACCGTTTCGTCGTGCAGTCGATGCTGATTCGTAGGTCGGCCCTGCCAAATCAAGGGTGCTCTTGTGTCCTTCGTTTCGAGAACCATGCGTTCTGCAATCCTACGGCAACGTGGCCCTCGGACGGGTCCTGTGTCCTCTCGCGTGTCCTCTCCAGTCAACCTCGACTGTGCTCGCCAAAGTCGACTCTCATCCTCATCCTCATCCTTGTGGAGAGCCCTGCTGTGAACAGGTCGCGGCTTGTTTGCTTGCTCTTTTTCCTCGCTCTCCCTCGCTCTCTCTCTCTCTCGCTCTCCCTGCCTCTCCTCTCTCTCTCTCTTTTCTCTTCCGTCCTCGCTGTCCCCCTGGGATACACCGACATGTGGGCGCACCCAGCCGGGGAACAAAAGGCGTAGGAGCCCGCGCGGCGGAGCGACAATCCTCATCCTCATCCTCCTCCCAGCTGGGGAGATGCCCGTGCATGGGCAGCGGGCCCGGCGACGGCGCATATAAAGGCTCGGCCCAGGGAGACGGCCCCCCCCGCCGCGCGCGCGGCGGGCGCGCCCTGCCGCGCGGCCGCCCGAGGACCACTTTGGGCAGAGCCTCGGGGGCTTCTGGCCGCGATGGCTGGGGAACTTCGGATGGAGCAGGCTCTCGTCGTCGTCATACCGTCGAAGCCGATAGCAGGGATGGGCAGCCTTCCCAGGGGTATTCGGAGGAGGAGAGGGCACCCATGCCGCTGCCCTTCGCCTGTGTTTCCCTTTCTCGGCCTCCCGGGAGGCCCCCGTCGCCACCGCTGGATGCGCCTCGAAATTCTGGTCAGAACGCACCCCAGGAGAGGGCCGTGGAGTTGCGGTATCGGTACCTTTGCGTGTCCCCAGGTACTCTTGTGTCCTTGCCTCTTCGGTCCATCCGTAACCGCTCTCGATGGCCAGCCCCGCTCGAACAGCTTCGATATGGGCGTCCAAGGGGCTTGCATCCTTATCGCACATCCTTGCTACCAGTTTTGACTGGTCGTTCGTCGTTGGCCGCCGTCGTCGTCTTTCGGCGTCGTCGTTCGTCACTCGGCATTCGTCGCCGTCGTCGGCGTCGGCGGCGTCGTCGTGTTCGTCTTCGAGGGAGGGGGGCATGAACACTCACCCAGACCCTCCTCACGGGCAGTTCTGTGCGATCTTGGTGCCCTTGTCTCCTGCCTCCCTGTATCATGGGGAAGAAGAGGAGGGCCTCCCTTGTTCGAACATGGCATGCTGAGTGGCTGGCGAGGTCACATCCTTTGTTGTTTGGCTCAATCTTTCTGTGCCTCGTCAGCAGTCGACTGTGACATTTTACTTGCTGCAACAGCTCCTTTCTCATTCGAGAGGAGATTCACGAAGCAGTGCTTGCACTTAGGGTTTGCGACTTGCGTGTCGTAAGGACCTGGGCCTGTCTGGCAGTCGTCGCCGTCGCCGCCCCGTCGCCGCCTCGTCGCCGCCAGTCTTCTGGGCCTGTCTGGCGGTCTGGCCGCTCCGTGGTCGCCGTCGCCGCCCCGTCGCCGCCTCGTCGCCGCCCGTCGTGTGGGCCTGGGTGCTCGTCTGGCGGTTCCGTGGTCGGCGTCGCCGCCCCGTCGCCGCTTGGATTTTCCTTCCAAAAAGGTAATAGGATCTACCTTCCCCCCCTGGACTTAGCAGTACCCGTTTTCGTTTCTGCCCCCATCGTCCATCCTCAGTGTGATTTCGTATCGTCCCATCCACACCGGCATCGCCATCTTCATCCTGTGCCAAAATAGTATGCGTGCGTACTCGCGTATCACAATTCATCAGTTCTCAAGAATGCGACGGAGTACGCACTCGCGCGTCGTCGCGCGCGCATGCCGAAATCCTTCAAACACCTCTTAGGTTCGCAAGGATTTTAAAGTCGAGTGCCCCGAAAACACATAAACACATATGGTTGTGAGTTCTAAAGAAGAACCATCGCTTGTAAACATGTTCATGACCTGCTACCAACGGGGCGTTTCGCACGCGTGTTTCGGAATCGCAAGAACGCCCTTGCGCGCGTGCTGTCGCAAGACTCCCGTGCAAGAGCGAGGCGAAGTGCGTACGCGCGCGTCGTCGCGCGCGCATGCCAGAATTCTCTCTAACACGCTCCAGGTTTCTTAAGGAGTTGAACATCGAGCGTCCCGAACACATATAAAGATCACACGGTGTCGAAGCAAGAGCCTGCGCCCCCGCTGTTGCGAATTGAGTGATCCCAGTGCAACCCTACCTAGGAGTTGGAGCCTTTAGGAAAGCAGCATTAGCAAGAACGGTAAATCTAAGCTAAAGCTGAGCTAAAGCTTAGCTGAAGCTAAGCTAACGCTAAGCTAAAGCTAAGCTAAAGCCAAGCTGAAGCTAAGCTAAAGCTAAGCTAAAGCAAAGCTAAAGCTAAGCTAAAGCTAAGCTAAAGCTAAGCTAAGCTAAAGCTAAGCTAAAGCTAAGCTGAAGCTAAGCTGAAGCTAAGCTAACGCTAAGCTAGAGCGAATATAAAGCTAAGCTGAAGCTAAGTTCAAGCTAAGCTAGCGCTAAGGTAAAGCTAAGCTAAAGCGAAGCTAAAGCTAAGCTAAATCAGAGCTAAAGCTAAGCTAGCGCTAAGGTAAAGCTAAGCTAAAGCTGAGCTAAAGCTAAGCTAAAGCTAAGCTAAGCTAAGCTAAACTAAGCGAAGTTAAGCTAAGCTACAGCTAAGCGAAGCTAAGATGAAGCTAAGCTGGGCTAAGCTAAGCTAAGCTAAGATGAGATATGCAACGCTAAGCTAAGGGGACGTAACTGGGGGAACCGCGGGGCGGATACTGGGGGAACCGCCGGGGGCGTAGTGCACTGCCCGGCCCTTTCAGCACACCGAGTAAGAACCCTTCTAGGCAGAGCCTAGGTAGGGAAAAAACGGTAGCTGTTGTTCAAACATGTTTCTTTTAATGCTACCAAGTGGGCCTCTCTCGTGCGCATGTCGAAATCTTTCAAACGCCCTTGCGCGCGTGCTGTCGCAAGGATCCTTCGCAAAAGCGGTACGAAGTGCACGCGCGCGCGTCATCGCGCGCGGATGCCGAAATTCTTCAAAAACGTTGCAGGTATGGGAAGGATGTCAAAACCGAGTGTCCCGAAAACATTAAAAGGCACATGGCTTCGCAACACGAATTTTCAAAAAACCTGCTCCCGCGCCCTTGCGAGCTCTTGAGGAAAAAACCTTGTTTGTTTTTATAGTTGCATAGCATGTTGCCCAACCGGCTTCTCTCGCGCGCATGTCGGAGTCGCAAGAACGCTCTTGCGCGCGTGCTGGGGGGTGGGGGCACGAACCGCACCAAATAAAACCATGGTGTCCACTCTCGGGCTTCGTACGAGCGCGCATGCCGAAGTCCTTCCAAAACGTTCACCACCGACGAGGGGACGCCGTCATCGTCGTCGGCGTGAGCAGCACCGGCGCCGTCACTCGCCGTGCCGTCGTCGTTGTCATCATCGTCACCAGCATCGCTGCTATCATCATCGCGTCTACCGTTGCGGGCGTTGCCCTGATACATCGCCCGTCCAAGTCGCCGGCTCGCACTGAAGTCCCGCTGGGAATTTCCCATTGGCCAACGCCACCGCGGCCGCTTCGGCCGCGCCCAAACTAGCTGGCAGCTGTGCGCGCGAGCACGCGCGCTAGCGCGGCCGCGGCGATGAGCCAGCCAGCGCCGAGCAGTCATCGCAATCGTCGCCGCATGGGTTTTGCAAACCAAGCTTCGCGTGGGTGTGTGGGACGATTGCGCGAGTCGGGTGAATTGCACAACACAGATTGCACCTATACCTTGCCCCGTGTATTTCGATACCACCTTGGACAATTCAAATCACGTATGTTTTTGCCTCGTCGTCTTTGATGGCAGATCACCTCAGGGAGTCCCCTGATCGTCCCCCCCTCATCCTTGTCAAATATTTCTCTGTTCGCGCACTTGTTTATCACAAAGTCCACGCGCGCGTCGTCTCGCGCGCATTTCGAAATTAAAAACGGAGTTTCTGTAAGGGTTTCAAAATCGATGTCCCGAACACATATAACAATAACCGTAGGTTTCCCAACATGTTTACCTAACAGCTTTTGCTGATAGGTTTCTAGTGGGATCAAAAGAGAGCATCTTGACGCCCCAGGGGGGTCCGGGCGGGATCCGGACAAGGAACCGGACAAAAGTGCAGCCCCAGGAATCCTTAGGAATCTGTAGGAATTCTTAGGAATATCCACTCCCAGGCCACATTCTGAATGCCCAGAGCCAACTGTAGGCCACTTCGTGTTCTTCGTGTTCCCAGAACACCCTTCCCATGCCACATTTTGAATGCCCGGAGCCAACTGTAGGCCACTTCGTGTTCTTCGTGTTCCCAGAACACCATTCCCAGGCCACATTTTGAATGCCCGGAGCCAGCTGTAGGCCACTTCGTGTTCTTCGTGTTCCCAGAACACCATTCCCAGGCCACATGCCCGGAGCCAACTGTAGACCACTTCGTGTTCTTCGCGTTACCGGAACACCATTCTTGTACTATATTTAGTTTGCCCGGAGCCAACTGTGGGCCACTTCGTGATCTTCGTGTTCCCAGAACACAAGTCTTGTGCCATATTTTGAATGCCCGAGCTGAGGCAGGCTGAGGCCGAGGCAGGCTGAGGCCGAGGCAGGCTGAGGCTGAGGTTGAGGCACGCCGAGGCAGGCTGAGGCTGAGGCTGAGGCAGGCTGAGGCTGAGGCAGCCTGAGGCTAAAGCTGACGCAGGCTGAGGCCGAGGCAGGCTGAAGTTGAGGCTGAGGCAGGCTGAGTCTGAGGCAGGCTGAGGCTGAGGCTGAAGCTGAGGCTGAGGCTGAGGCTGATGCAGGCTGAGGCTGAGGCAGGCTGAGGCTGTGGCTGAGGCAGGCTCAGGCTGAGGCTGAGGCCGAGGCAGGCTGAGGCTGAGGCTGAAGCTGAGGCAGGCTGAGGCTGAGGCTGAAGCTGTGGCTGAGGCTGAGGCAAGCTGCGGCTGAGGCAGGCTGAGGCTGAGGCTGATGCAGGCTGAGGCTGAGGCAGGCTGAGGCTGTGGCTGAGGCAGGCTGAGGCTGAGGCTGAGGCTGAGGCCGAGGCAGGCTGAGGCTGAGGCTGAAGCTGAGGCTGAGGCCGTGGCTGAGGTTGAGGCAAGCTGCGGCTGAGGCAGGCTGAGGCTGAGGCTGATGCAGGCTGAGGCTGAGGCAGGCTGTGGCTGAGGCAGGCTGAGGCTGAGGCTGAGGCCGAGGCAGGCTGAGGCTGAGGCTGAAGCTGAGGCAGGCTGAGGCTGAGGCTGTGGCTGAGGCTGAGGCAGGCTGAGGCTGAGACAGGCTGAGGCTGAGGCTGAGGCAGGCTGAGGCTGAGGCAGGCCAAGGCTGAGGCCGCGGCAGGCGATTCCTTCGAAATCCTTAGAATTCCATAGGAATCCTTAGACTTCCCAAGGAATCCTTAGGAATCCCCAGCAATCCCTAGGAATCAGGATTCCTAAGGTTTCCTAAATATTCTTATGGATCCCTAAGGATGCCTAAAGGATGCCTTAGGAATTCCAGGAATCCTTAGGATTCCATAGGATCCTAAGGCCGTTGCCACTGCGACTGCGAGAACAGCAGAATTCTACAACTGGATTCTCACCTGAACCTTAAGGGGAATGCTTCCAGATATGCTTATACACATCGCTGTTAGGATGCTTTGCCGGGACACTTTGTCAAACAAGTCTGCGCGCTTTCGCCGAGTCTTACGAAACCATCGGTTTTCGTTCCGACCAGTGCTTGCACTCAGGTTTTTTTTACGTTATGTTCAAACTATGTGGGCCTGTTTGCCGCCCCGGCGGCTATGTAGCCGCCGTTGCCGCCTCGGCGCCGCTTCGTTGCCGCCCATCGCCTGGGCCTGTCTGGCGGTCTGGTGGCTCCGTGGTCGCCGTCGCCGTCCCGTCGCCGCCTCGCTGCCGCCCGTCGCGTGGGCCTGTCCGCCGCTCTGGGCGGCGAATGAGAACGCGTATAACTTGCGACGCGTTGAGACCCTCTTTTCAAAGAGTATTCGGATCGACCTTCCCCCGGCTTATTGCTGCAATTTGCATATGTTTCTGCCCATCGTCCATCCGAATCGCTCATTCATACCATCCTCCCAGCCCAAGCGGAGCTCGCCCCCTTCATCCTTTGCAAAACAAGTTTGCCCGCGCACTCGTTCATCAAGAATCATCAGTCTTCAAGAATCCCTTGCAAAAAAAAAAAACACGACGAACTGCACACGCGCGTGTCGTCGCGCGCGCATGCCGAAATCCTTGGCGAACCGTAGGTCCCGTACGGAATTCAAAGCCGGCTGTCCCGAAAACTCTGCGCCCTGCGCCCGAGCTGGGGGGCACGCGCCGTGTCAAATAGCACCATGCTGGTCACTCTCGCGCGTCGGTCGTGCGCGCATGTCTAACACCTTTCGAAACCTTCATCATCGACGCGAGGACGCCGTTATCGTCGTCGGTTTGATCAGCATCGGCGCCGTCACAGGCCGTGCCGTCGCCGTTCTCATTATCGTCGCCCGCATCGCTATCATCATCATCGTATCTACCGTTGTCGGCGTTGCCATGATACCGCGCCCGCCGAAGTGGCCGATTCGCACTGCCGTGCCCGCTGGAAAGCGCCCGGAGGCCAGCGCCACCACGGCCGCGTCGGTCGCGCCAAACTAGTCGGCCGCTGCGCGCGCGAGCATGCGCGGGCTCACGCGGCCGCATGCATGCACCGCTCAACACCACACACTCATGGCAATCGCTGTCCCATGCGTTGTGCAAAACAAGTTGCGGGTGGGTCGGTGGGACGATTGCGTGACCAGTGGAGTTGGCAACTGCGAATTCCGCAAGTGAGTTGCCGCAGATAGATAGCATCACGTAGATGGCACATCATATATTGCACCACATAGTTGGGACAACGTGTATTGCACAACATAGAATGCATCACAGGGTGCGCTGCATAGACCGCACAACATATATTGCACTACAAACATTGCACACCCTGGACTGCAACGCGTAAGTCGCACAACATATAATTTACACCACTTAACATTGCACCATAGGGATTGCACAACATATATTGGTGGCGCCACGTCGGACCATTTAATTTGCTGGAAAACAAGAAGTAGGTACCACTACGACAACCCCGGGATTATTCCATGTAGGGTATCACAACCCACACGTGATTATGCACAGTCGTCCATTCGAAATCCGATATCAAACCATCTCAGCCCAAACGGTATCGCCTCCCCCGTTATACCAGTTCCCCAGACAGTGATTGCATTGATGGGTTCTGATTTGTCTTAACCATTTTGGGACCAATGCCGGTTTTTGCGGGCGGTGCCGCCCGTCGCCACCGTCGCCGTCGCTACCGCAGCGACGCGACAGCCAGAGCCACACGGTCATCGCAATGGTCGTTGCGTTGGATTTGCAAATCAAATTGTGCATGGGCGGGTGGGATGGTTGCGCGAGCAGTGGGGTTGACAACGCATTGCGAGCAATACCGGGTTTCAATGCTAAATCAGAATTCGGATTCTTCCTCCCCGGGGTTCTCGGCACCCTTCGGGATGTGCAATTAACATATGAGGACGCCCCATCGTTCATTCTAAAGATGGGCTCGTAGCGTCCCAGCTAAGCCAGCGTCGACCCTTCCCCCGACCTCCCTCGCATAGTCTAGATGCCCGCGCGCTCGTTTGTCGAAAACGCTCATTTACAATAATCCCTTCCCAGAAATCGGACGAGGTGCACGCGTGCGCCTCGTCGCGCGCGCGTGCTGCAATCCTTCAGGAACACTTTGGTTCTGTAAGGATTTAAGCATCGAGTCTCCCGAACCTATAAAACGCATGGTTTTGCAACGTGTTTGTTCGAAAAAACATGCGCACGCGTACTTTCGCATGTTTACTCTGCGTTTTCATGACATTTAACCAAGCGGGCCTCTCGCGCGCGCATCAAATTTATTCGAACGCTCTTGCGCGCGTGCTGATATGGAAGCCGGTCCTGGGGAATGGGTCAAGACCTTTTAGGGGTCGACCTTGTGACATTGTCATGGCGTCGGGGGTCTGGGCACGGTCGCCATGGCCGAGATGTCGCGGGATCTTGCCGACGCCTGTCTAGGGCACGGCACATGCTGGCCACGGCCGGCTTCCGAAGAGAATCGACGAAGAAACGGTGGCCAATATGAACGGTGACCAAGATCGACGCCGTCATGTCAGCGTTCAGTCTTGGTCATGGTCCTTGCTTTTGTTCTCTCTTGGTGCGGACCGTCCTCGCGGTCGGGGTCGACGGCTCGGGGTTTCTCAGCCGATGGCGGGAGAGCTTCGGGCAGAGCGGGCGCTCCCCTCCTCAGCGAGGGGGGGAGGGGGAGGGGGAGAGGCGGGAAAGGGAGGAGGAGGAGGAGGACGAGGACGAGGACGAGGAGGAGGAGGAGGAGGAGGAGGAGAAGGAGGAACAGGAGGAGGAGGAGAAGGAGGAGGAGAAGAGGGGGAGGGTCGCTCCGAGATCTTGGTCGGAACGCGCTCTATGACAGGTCCTGGGATCGTGTCTGAGGGAGGAGGGACGGCCGCATTCCCGTAGCCCTCCCGTCCTCCTCGTCATATCCTCCTGTGCAGACCCAACTTCTTCGAGACCCTCGGGGGCCTCCGGAGACCTCTGGGCACCTCAGGAAGATCAGAGAGAGGAGAAGGAGTGGGTGCGCTGCGCTGGGGGGCCTCCTGGGCACCGCCGTGAGCTCCCCGTGGGGTCGGCGCTTCAACAGGGCAGACGGCGCCGGATATTTGGGCAGACGACGCGAGGGGGGCATGGTATGAGCTCGTCCCCCCCCTCCCTTCTCTCTCCTCCCTTGCTGCCGGAGGCTCTGCTTTCGAGCCCCGTCGGTCGCCTGAGCCCGTTCGGTGGCCGAAGGGGCTCTGGGTCGATCCCACTCGGCGTCCGAGCAAGGCCAGCTCCCACGACGACAAGCGACGACGAAGACGACGACGACGAAGACGACGACGACGACGAGACCTCGTCTCGGCCGAGCCCGTTCGGCCACTTCTGTCGGCCGGCGGGGATCGGGTTCGGGCTCCGTGGAGGCGCGCGCAAGGGGGGCCCCAGGGTGGCGCCCGCACGGGGAGGATCTCAAGCTGAACAGCGAGTGGGCCGGCTTCGATCTCATGAAGCTTGGTGGTCAGTTCACTCCGAAGATATACTGGCGCGGCGACATCGTTTTGGTATCTGGTTGCATCACCACGGTTGCGCCGATGAAGAATCAGGCGGGCTGGGATCTGACAGTCTGTTGGGTGGATCCACGCGGGTCGCCGCCTAGCAACATCTCACATCTGGCTCCGACAGCGATGTCCAGGTACGAGGGTATCTACCAGTGCGGTACCAGCATGATGTTGAGGAGTGATGGCCGGATAACAATCAATTTCAGCAAGAGCACCAACCCGATGGTGCTGCACTTCTCAGGCCTCGCATGCGTGATTTCGCATGAGGAGCCCATCCCTATTCCGATAGCACAGTATGCGCTGCGAGACTGGCTCATGCAGATGTCCAAGTCGAAGCCGCAGGAAGGGCAAGAGGATTGGGCACTGCACCCTGAAGAGAGCAATCCTCCAGCACTGCGGAAATGTGGTAGCTACGTTTTCTTGCAGGGGGAGCTGCAGGAGGCTGTCTACGGCCCGCTGGCACAGCACGTTGCCTTGCTGCCAGAGGGCTTCAGGCCGCGACGCGAGATCCGCTGCTTGGCGAGCCTCCTGCGTCAAGAGGACGACGTCGTGGAGCACTCGGTGGCATTGACGATACGCCCCAACGGGACCATCTCCGTACAGGGCGGAAAGGTGCACATGGTGGACGCGAAGGGAAACATGCGGGTCCTCCAGCAGAAGAAGAAGGGCCGGCTCTGCTTGAGCGGTGTGCGCTTCTCGTTGATCGACGGCGTCCCCGTCCAGCCGTCGCACCTGCTGCAGCAGGCGTCTAAGGACAAGGCGGACCTCGCGTCCGGAAAGCAAAAAGTGGACTACCTGATGGGCACCGCCACCAACAAGAGCATCGTTGGATGCTCGTTTCGAGGACCTTCCTGGACCCACCGAACGGATCTGTTCGACTCTGGTGCGACATCAGTTCGACTCGCGTTCGACTCAGGTCCGGCTCAAGTCCGACTCAGGTTCGGCTCAGCCTCGACTCAAGGTCGACTCAAGTCGACGGGCGTTCGACTAGGTGACCACATGTGAACCCTACCCCCACCCTCCACGATTTCTAAGGGGGGGGTCGGGGTTCATTTCGCTCGGGAACTCCCGAACGAAGTGAACCCCACGCACCCCTTAGGAATCGTATCGGTCACTGGATCGACGCAGCTTCGACGCACGAGTGGAGCGATTGTCCCCAGGGAGGTCCCCCGACGACGAGCGCCCAAGCGCATCGTGACCGGGGCTGCCATGCGGCAGGGCGACCTGGTCATGTTGGAGGGCCACCTGGAGTGGTCGTTAGTATCGTCCAACCGATCCCTATCCCCATATCCATCCCACATCTCGAGCCCCACCGTCTCACCACCTCAGTCGGGAATATGCTCCTCGAAACCCGAAGAGAGCAGCCCGTATCCCCATCCAGGGGGGTAAATCGGCCAGTGGGAGGAGGAGCAGGAGGAGGAGGAGGAGGAGGAGGACGAGGAGGAAGAGGAGGAGGAGGATGAGGAGGAGGAGGAGGAGGAGGAGGAGGAGGAGGAGGAGGAGGAGGAGGAGGAGGAGGGAGAGGAGATGGGGATCGGTTGAACGATGCTCAGGTCAACGGCTCGCCCCCCAAACTCGAAGCAGCCCCTGGCCCAGCTGCCGCAGGGCTACTGGCCGCCCCACCGGCAGTGCTTCTTCACCCGCGGGGGCAGCGACCTGGAGGAGACTGCTCCCTCCCTCCTCTCCCTCCCCGCCCTCCCCTCCTCCTCCTCCTCCTCCTCCTCCTCCTCCTCCTCCTCCTCCTTCCTCCTCCTCCTCCTCCTCCTCCTCCTCCTCCTCCTCCTCCTCCTCCTCCTCCTCTCCCTCCTCTCAAGCCTCGGCTTGAGCACCACTTGGAGCTCAGAGTCGAGCCCTCGCCTCCACGGGGCGCTTGGGGGGCACCGAGGCAGCAACCCTCCGTGGGCCGCCCTTCTCGGTGGCGAAGGAGGGCACATTGATGGCTTCGGAGGCATGGGGTACATGTAAGGGCTGCGGTACGCATGAGTGGAATCCCGTTCTGGCCCAGGCAAATCGGAAGGTTCCTCGTGCCACCGTACAGTCAAGCTCTACCAGCCGAAGAAGAGCGCTGGCAGCCCCGCGGGCCGTGGCGATGCAGGGCAGCGTCTAGCCCTGGCTCCCGCAGCCCGTGCGCCGTCCTCGCTCGCGGCGCTCGAGAGCGCCTTGGCGGTCACCCCAGGCGACGTGGCGCTCACCCGCGCCTTGCAGGCGAATGTTGCCAACATCAAGGCAGCAGGGCGCCCCGCCGACCGTCGAGGAGGCGCTGCGCCGCGCGGTCGGTGCGGTCAAGGACGCCGAACTGAAGCACGAGCAGGCGTTCGAGGCGCCCCAGCGGTGTGAGGCCAACCTGCTCAAGACCAAGGAGCGGGAGCGGGATTGTGCCGTCGCGCTGGTCACGGCGCAGGAGGCCAAGGCCATGGCGGTAAAGGCGCTGCTGGCGGCGAAGTGCGGCATCATTCCAGCGGAGGCGCCCGCCAAGTGTTCGGACGCGGAGCTCTTCGTGCTTCAGTGGGGCGAGTCTTTCTTCGCCCGCCTGGACCAGCTCGACGCAGAGCCGAGCGAGGTCGAGGCCCTGCGCAAGCTCGAGGCGGATCTCAGTGCCACCAAGCAGGATTTGTCGGCTAATGACACGGCAGCGCAAGCTTGGCTGGCCAGGGCGAAAGATTTGCAACAGCAGATCCAGACGCGTCTGGCCAAGAAGCGCAGGGCGACGGACGGTGCCGCGGCCCCAGGCGCGGAGTCGGGTGCTTCCGACGGCGGCCAGACGGCGGGAGCGGGCGCAGCAGCGGCCCCAGCGAGCCCAGCGGCGGCGGCTGCGCTTGTCGAGTCCGCAGAGGACAAAGAGGTGCGTATCAAGGCGGCGGCTGCCAAGCTCACGGCCGCAAAGGTGGCGGCGGGCCAGGCTTTGGAGCTCGCTGCTGCTGTCAAGCAACTGGTTTGACTGGCAGTGAGGCCTGGCGCGGCGAGGTCGGCTGCGTCCGGGGTTGCCTCATCGCAGAGCACACGGGCATCTGGCGACTCTGGATTCTGCGAGCAGACATCGGATGACGATGCAGGGGAACGGCCTTTACTCGCCAAGAGTGGGGCGGACGCCTTCACGTCGGTCGCTAACAGAAGTGCATTGGGCAAGAAAGCGTGGAACTACATTCGTGGCCCTGCTTGTGCCCCGTTTCATCATATTGGCCCTGTCGAGACGCACGTGGGGCCACGCGCAGACATCCTCCATTGGCGCCATGAGGCCAGGAAGCGCAACTTCAACCTACTCCAGAATCCCGCTTGGGCGAATGGCTGTGGGCGTACTGATGGCACGAAGGAGTGAGCCGACAAGGGTGGCGACATGTGGTTCAGTAGAGGACATATCCAGGTTCAACACGTTGCGGTCGACGATGCTGCAGGTAGAGATCTTCATTGTGATGGCTTCGACGCGGTGGACGGCTTTGCGGCCATGGCGATGCGTCAGCACGGGCCATCAGTTGTTGCGATCGTCTTCTATGGTTGCAGTTCCGACAGCTTCGGAGGGCGGAACCTGCAGAGATACGCTTGACTGGGGGCCTTCGTTTCACAGGTTTACCTTGGCTCGTTGCAGGGGATTTCAATGTCTCGCCAGAAGTGCTTCAATCACGTGGGTTCCTTCGGCGAGTAGGAGGCGCTATTTTTGCGCCGGACATCGAGGCTACTTTCGAATCTGGCAGGGGCGCGCATCTCGACTACCTCATCGTGAGCGAGCCATGCTGCCCGTTCATAGCTGGATTCATGGCCATACTTGCAGTGCCATGGGCTTTTCGCTGTGCGCTCCAGGTTCGGCGACTAGGGTCGGGGCATCAACGTCTGCGCCGCGAGCTTGTTCTACCTGCTCAACTTCCACGGGTGCCGCGGCCTGTTGCGCCACCGACACCGGGATCCAAATCGAGCATCGATAGACAGCGGCGACACGAGCAGCGCATTCTGGCGCGAGAGCGTGCTGCGGAGGCCTCCAAGGCCATGTTCGGTGATCTCGCTGCGCCCGAGCGCGCGCCTGCGCCCGTTTGGTCTGTCGACTCCGAAGGGGGGCCCGACGGAGAGCTCGATTTTGCCAGATCCTTTGTTGATGTAGCGGTTAACGCCGACACGCCCGTCACCCAGCAGCCGTGGCCCGAAGAAGCCGAGGCGGTGGAAGTAGGTCCTGGCCTGTCCGTTGCGGAAAAGCGCTTGCGCGAGCAGTCAGGGGCCGCCGTCGCCCATAACCAACCTTCGGCAGACAGTGGGGATCACCCTCCATCTGTCTCCTTCCCGCCTGACTCGCGGAGCGCGCGCAGGGGGGGGGGTCGGGCACGCGGGAACATACGTAGAAGAGGAGGTTTGGTTTGTGGTTCGGGAATGCGCCGCTCATGCCGTTGTCGGGCCTTGCGCTCTTCGAGCAAGCGCCTTGTGCGAGGCTTGGGTCGCTTCTCTGGAGCAGGCGATCGCACTGCATCGCGGGGTGCGTCTCGGCGGTGCTACGTCTCGGGCTTCGGGGCCGGCCGGGGTGATGGCCTCGGACAAGATTTGGGGCCGGCCTCTCCATGATCTTGCGGCCTCGTGGCGGGGGCGTCTGGCGACAGTTCTCCTGACTCAGCGGGCGCCGTGGACGTGGCGACGGGCTTCGACAGCAGGCCAAGCTTTGCGAGGCAGCGCCTGCTCTGACAGCTGACCAGCCAGCACGCGCGCGCGCGCCTCTCGTTGATGCCTCGGAAAGACGAGGAGGGGGGGGGGGGGGGCCAGCATGGAGTGATTGGCAGTCTAGAATTCTACGCGTCGAGCGCCTGCCTGATGCCAGTGTCCACGAGATGGCCAACGCGGCCAAGCGCGCTGTTGCTCGTGCCCGGCGACGGGCGGTTGGGAAGTCACTCAAATATTTTCGCTACTGGGTTGCCACGCCCGAAGCCTCCTGGAATCCCCCGCAAGTCCTTGAAGAAGGATCCCCCGTTCCTGACGAGCTTCGGGTTGATGGCGAGGTTTTGTTTCATCCTCGGCATCGTCGACCAGAAGGCCAAGCCCTATGGAGCCCTCAGGAGCTCGAGGTTTCGGGCGTGGCTGACTTGTGCGCCGAGATTCTTGCTGCGGCAGCTGTGGGGCAGCTTGGGCCGCTTCCACCCGCTCGCGCCCACGCGGCCTCGCGCGCCATGAAGGCCGGGGCAGGACGTGGGATAGACGAACTCCCCGTGCGAGATTTGCGTCGCATGGCCCCGGCAGATGCCGGTGGTTCTTGGGCGCCTCTTGGGGGGGAGGGCGGGGGGGGGGCAGTGTTATAATATTGATGTCCATGTCTTCCCGGACCTGGCCCCTTGCCCGCGAGGATGCCACTCGAGCGTGGTCTCAGGACACCCAGCCCGACAGGGGCGCGGCCGCGGCGGGGATCTCCGCTCTCCGCGAGGCCTTCCTGCGCGCGTTGCGGGGTGAAGGCCTTGCGCGCATGGGGATCTCTTTCGGCGCGGGTTCCTTGGATGCCGAGGGCTTCTATGATGCGATGCAATGGGGGCCCCTGGTGAGGTCTGCTTTGCAAATGGGATTCCCACATGTTTTCTTGGGCTTGGAGCTGATGATGTGTCTGGCGCCTCGAGTCCCATTTCACATCGGATCGTGCTCGTTGGCGATTCAACCTTCGCAGGGTCTATTCCAGGGGCTCCGTAGTAGGACTTTCTGTGAGCGGTGCCGGGTGTACTTCATTTAGCAGCAATTCACCGCAGCTCATCCGCGTGTGACGATGCGCATGTGGGTCGATGGTCTGACTCAGCACACGGCAGGCACTCGCACCCTCGTGCGCGGCAGGCTTTCCCTAGGATTGCTCGACGCTTGCCAGGCTTTGCAGGGGCACGGGCTCCCTGTGGCCAGCAAAGAGCGGCGTTCTCAGCTCCCATCCAGATGATGCCATCTTCGTCTTCCGTCGTCTTAGGAGGAAGGGGTTTCACGTTCGACATGGTCTCCAAACTAACGTTCTTGGTCGACCTCGGTTCGGGTAGGGCGGCTGGGGCTATTCGGAACAAGTGGGTCGTCAAGGCTAAACACATGGGCAGCAGGATACGAACCTTTGCGACAACTTCCAGGACATATGTTAGCATGGGTCTTACCGGGATGGCTGGTTCGCGGCGGGAGCACGCGGGCATCAGATCACGGGTGGTTTCGGTGGGTTTCGTCTCCAGCGTCGGCGTCGTCTCGGTCGCGCTCTCTCGGCTGGGAAGAGAGGCAGATGTTCAGCTACCTTATTAGATCTTCGCGCCGAGGGGCGCGATCCTGAGCGCCGTTTGCCACGCGAAAGCCTCCGCCCGTGGCTTCGCGCGTGGCTCGAGGAGCCCAGCATCCGCTCGCCGGTGCGAGCTGTGCGGCCTGATCTTGTACAGCAGCTTTGGTCACTTGCTCCGAATCAGGTTGCCCAGCATGCGCGAGGGCCGATCTCCATGATCATTGGATAATTGCTCGCGTTTGGCTGGAATCCAGTTTCCCCCGCGGAGCGGGACATGCCATCGAACGATGACGAGCCTGGACATGGTGGGACTTTTCACGGCGACCAACTTACTACCTCGGAAATCACCGATGGTTTGTCGGCCGACTTCGAGGGATCGATTCGGAAGAAACTTCGTGGACTTCGGCGGCCTCCCATTTTTGTGGGGATGGGGCTCCAGCGCGGGACAACGTTTGTCTTCGGGACA